TTTATTTTTTTTTTTTTTTTTTTTTTTTTTGGAAAATGATTTAATTATTAATTTCTTTAGAAGAAAAAAAAAATTATTCTTAAAAAGTGCTAAAAAAAAGTGTGTTTTTGAAGAATGGGGGAAATGTTAAGGTTACCGTGACAGTACAGAGGAATATAACATGTGGCAATACAAAAGGTCATTTTGCAGGTCAAAGACAAAGAGACGTGGGAGGGTGCCCACCATCAAAGTTAATGGCCTTATTCTCGAACCTTTTACGGCTCTCAATAGTTACCCAACTAGGTTGCTACAACGTGGGTGACAGTTTTATACCGTTAGATATAAGTAAAATAGAATCCAACGGTTATTAAGAAACACACAGTTGCATTGCTATAACTTGACTAGTCGAATAATTTTTCTCTGGGTCGATAGTGTAAAAGGGTTTAGGGTTTAGGTGCAGCTCCTCACGTGCTTGCTCTTCGTGCATGTTATAAATACTTTTAAAAGATGGGTTAGCATAACACGACTAATTATATCGAGCTTTGGTTCATTTCTCCTTACTCGACCTTTTTTAATTGGGTTCACCATTGTTTGACTACAGGAACCATTAGCACGTGATTGGTTCTTGAGGCAAAGTAGGGACATCCCGCTTCAAAATGTACCATCGTGCAACAAAATATTAGGGTACGAAAATTTGAACCTATCCTCACCTTTTACCGGGACATATAGGCTCGATAAGAAACCATATAGGAAGTAAAGACATGGGAAAATACAAAACCGGACAGGATCTCAACATAATCTTTATATGTATATGCTACCTTTTCATACATGTGAGAGTGAGAGAGAGGGAGAGCACGTGTGTGTGACTATGAGAGAGAAACACACGTGTGTATATTCAACTTTGCTTAAAGTTGATTAAAAATTACTATTTTATTGTTTATCTTAGAACCCTAGTTTCAACGTGACATTGAGATAGCGCATGGACGAGACAATTATTCGTGACATTGAGATATCTTATGTAACGGCTCAGATCCACTGCTAGTAGATATTGTTCTCTTTGAGCTTTCCTTCAAGGTCAGATCCACCGCTAGTAGATATTGTCTTTTTTTAGCTTCCCGTCATGGCTTTAAAACGCGCCTGCTAGAGGAATATTTTCACACCCTTATAAATGGTTAAGAACCCAGATCCACCGCTAGCAAATATTGTCCGGTTAAAGACCCAGATTGTTAGGGGAAGGTTTTCAAACCCTGATAAATGGTTAACGACCCAAAAAACCCTTACAAATGGTTAAGGACCAGATCCACCGTTCGGGGATACAAATGGTGGTTTTTGTAACGACCCAAATCCACCATTAGCAGATATTGTTGTCTTTGGGCTTTCCCTTTCGATCTACCCCTCAAAGCTTTAAAACGCATTAACTAGGGGAAGGTTTCCACTCCCTTATAAAGGGTGTTTTGTTCTCCTCCCCAACCAATGTGGGACATCACATCTTAGAACCCTAGTTTTATACTCGTTCATGCTACTCTTTTTCAGACGGAAGTTAAGTTGCACGGTCAGAGCGAGAGAATATACTAGATGTATATTTATAAGAACCGAGACAGATCCGAGACTTAGCATATGTACATGATTAGTGATGTAATATTAAAATTTATCAAAACGTTTTAAATTCCGTATAAATAATAACGATTCGTGGCTCGAGACTCTAAAAAAATAAAAAATTGTTATAAAACATTAACGAAGATTAATAGAGATAAATCCAAACATAATTATTTAGACATTGGAACAGGGTTACAATAATTGTACAAATCATTCCAACACAAAGACCACACCTAAACTTAATAAAATATTATAAATTACTTTGAAACAATAAAACATTTTCAATATCTTGGAAAAATAAATCTAAATCCTCTTTTATTATAATATTTTTATAATTTTATTAAAAAATTAATCATAATATCTTAATCAAATCCGTTACAAGTAAAGCATAAAGTAAATTACATTAATATGTAATTTTATATTAATCCGCTCATTTTAGCCTCGTTTATTCTTTACGAGGAGGTCACCCGACATAAAATTGTTCCAAACGTACACTTTATTGGTACAGATAGTAACTGTCAATTCTTTTAAGTATTTCTTAATCATTATAATTTAAGTGTCGCTTTCTTTCGAATGTGATCTCGGTTCATTCATGTACCATTTATTTATTCGAACATTACATATATTTCGTCACGTAACAAAATTGTATCATACTCATTTAATGATTGATTTTCCTCTTCAAGTAAGGGATCGATGGATTGAAATGAAATGATCCCTAATAATGCTTGTTTGGGAGAAAAAGAACAACACTTTATTTTATTATTTTATTTTATTTTTTATTTTTTTCCAATTATTCTTGCTTCTAATGTTTTCATGGGAATCATTAATTTTTATGATTAAAAAAATTAAAAATTGTAAAGATGTTTTTGAAATTGTTTTATTTTTCTTATTTATGATGTAATAAATTTTATTAATTTATTTAAAAAAAGTAATTAATTAATATTGAGATTTAGGGCCATATATGTTAAGCAATTAATTATTTATTTATTTAAAGCTTTAGATATGCTTTATTGACCGTTGCTGTGATTAATGAGTATTATTTTAATTAAGAAAAAAAAAAAAAAAAAAAAAAAAAAAA